CTTGGCTGTGGAATATTGTGCACAAAATGCAGAATGTGCTGGATGTGATTCAACAAAAGAGCCTCAGAATTAAAAACATGCTTCAATATGCTCTGTTGCTGACCAAGACCCCTCAGGACTGCTCTCTTGGGTAAGAGGTGTGTGCTCTTTGCTAAGTCCAGATTCATCCTCACTAAACCTACTCACCAAATAAAGTACCTCGCCAAGTGCACAGAGCAGCAAATGCCAAGTCCACCCAAGGCAACCGATGCCGTGCTGGTCGTCACTTCCAAGTTAGTAAACTGACTCAGTATTTAAATTCAGGTTTTGCTTTGTCATATTGTATATTGCATTGACTAAAATGAAACTGTTCTTCTATTTATTTATCTAATAGAGTATTTTGGTAAATGAGTTTGGTAAAGGCCAAAGGTTGCTCAGAATACACACAGAAATGTCTATAAATGTCTAGGTACTTGCAAGTTTACACAAAGAGTGAAAAATGTCAAAGGAACAGCACTGTGTTTCTGTAGGAGTATTTTCGTAATGGGAGTTTCTTCTGTTTGGGGGGAATTTAATCCCTGGGATAATTTATACAAATGAAATTTTTGCTTGTATAAATATTTGTAGGATCAGAGATTCAGTCTGACCTTCAGCTGCTTTGTTTTTAACAAAATAAGATTCTTCTTAGTAATTATCTACCATATTATACTTGTGTGTTGAGCTTCTGCTTCTCCAGATGTTCAATCTAAAATGTGCCTTTGAAATCTACATCTTTTGGAAAGAAGTGTGCTGCTAAAATGTTCCAGAGCAGAAAAAGAAGAAATGCACAAAGCACTAAACAAACCCTGATATGAAGAGCAAAAATTCTCAAACAGACATTTCGCTCCAAAGGCTTTGAATGTTAGTGTATACGTTAGTTGTTGTTCACGATGTTAATTCATGATGAAAGTCCCAGCACAACCACCAACTTCCACAGGAACATGTACATTTGTACAGAGCGATGTGTCTCTGAAAGCCTGCTTTCCATTCAGCAGAGGAAGGAGCACAAGGGCCAGTGGTCCTTTTGCCTTTCCTCTACAGTCCTCAGTTGCTTAATTTTAATTTGGGGTCCTTTACACAGGTCTCCTATAGAAGCAGAAGCCTCAAAGATTAAGGGCTGTTGCCATATGAATATTCACAGCTACAGGCTGTATGTAGTAATTTCTGTCCTGGTCCTTAAGACACACTTCGATAGTCTTACACAACTCAAATAATACACCTATTTGAAACAACATGGCTTTTGCCCAAGTAAAAATATCTTTCTCTTTCTTGATCTCCTAACTCTTGGTAACTCTTCCAAAAAGCCTACCAATGAATAAAACACATCTTGTAAGGGTTTCTTAGGCATAAATTTGTGAATTGGTTAATGCAGCAGTTTGCAGGAGCCAGAAGGATCCCTGGAAAGCAATTAAGCAGTGCAGTCCTGTTGCCAGTGTGCTCCCAGGCATTAGGAAGAAATCTTTGCTTCCTCTGAACATTTCCCATGTATCACAGAGTGTTGAAAACCAGTGATTAAAGTATAACTGTGGGTTATCATACAGGAATTACAGATTTCTGATCGAAACTTCCAAAATTTGCAAAGAATCAACGTGAGATGCGATTTATCCTAAGCTGATTTTTTTGAAGTTTTATTTATTTTTCCTGTTACAATGGAGTGCAATTTCTTTAAGATTTAGTTTTCAAATCTATCTCCCTAATGCTAATACTTTCAGAAAATTGGACACTTTGTTTATTGAAGTTTGATTTACTTTTAAACAGAAAAGAAATTTCATCTTAATCTTCATATCTGCCTCAGCTTTAAGAAGTTTTTATTTGGAAGTAAAAGAATGACACATTTAGCCTTCATAGTAGTTTGTTCTCAATTCATGTTTCATTTCTTTGAAGCACTAGACAGGTTAAAAATACTTTCTCAGTAAGACATGCCAACATTTTAATGTTTGACTGAAAGAACTGGGAAAACTAAATTTTTTTAGTTGGACTTGTGGCAGTATTTGAGCTATTGCTCGAATATAATATTGAAAATACTTGATTTCTGAAACTGCCAAATTTTTCAATTTTTGAGATAAAATCTGTTACTCTAGATCTTCAAGGAAGAACATAACAAAAAACAGCAATGTTCTTTAGCAAACCCTCACATTTTTTTTAAGTCAGCACTACTGCCCATTTAGGGTAGGAACCTTCGTCAGCCCAGAAATTGATTTTTGCTTTTCATACCATCCTATGCTTACCATTTTAAATGTTAAATTTTTAAGTTAAAAGATCACCACGACTTCATTGCTGCCTGATCAGATTCAACCTAAACCTATTCCATTACCTGCAGTCAGTGTGAGATGATTGCATTTCTCAGCTATACCATTCAGCAGCCCTACACAGCCAAATAAATCAGAGAGACTGATTTTCATCTCAGATATAGGAGTCTGACATTCACCTTAGGTCCATTTGCTTCTGAGGAAATGCTGCTGACCCCCATTGCAAGTACAGATGTGTTGCGCACATGCATTCTCTTTATCGCTAGCAGTTCACTTAAGAGGGCAAAAATAAATATTTCAAATACAATATATTCAAATTTCAAAAAATTGCCATTTTATTTCTATCATGTAATACTCATGCTTGGTCAATTTGGACTAGTACTAAGACACATTAGAAGGAAGAAAATACGGAAGATTTCAAACAAGCACTCTATACTGAATACTGCTGGTGTCACTGGTTCCACAGTGAATTTCTGCTTAAGTGTACAATTGGCCAGATAATCACATGTATCCTGGCAGATACAAGATCCAAATGCAGTTTATTAATAATTACAAGATACTTTCTGGTGTACACTGCAAATTAAAAGCAATTCAATATAGTGATGTCCTCTTAGATAAAAATAACAAAAAAGTAGGCAAAGTCTGGTCAAAAGGAGAAAGAAGAGGGATAGGAAATGTAGCGTTAAGTGGTTGTTCTGTGAGATCATCAGAAATAAAATACTGTTTTATGGCTGCTTGTTAAAATAAGCTAAGGCTGGTGAGTAGTACTGAGTCCATCATAACGAAACTGCGGGCCTACACTTTGTCACCCATGATGATGGGACATTTATATGGGTAGATATGTTGGTAGCACTAGATGAAAGTATCAAACAAAACCAGAACCGTCAGAACCACCATTGATATCAGATTATAAGTAGTATCAGCTTATGTCTGATGTACTATTTTTATCGGTATTGCAGATTGCAGAGACTGCAGTGCTGTTGGCATATGGTGCAATGCTTGACCACCCTACCACTAGACTGGGAAGTGGCCATGTCATTAAACTCTGACCATCACTCACTGGTTTAGAACACCTTTGGTCTGTGCTCTGAGAGGGGATGTGATTCAGTCTTAAGACCATCAGAGCTCATGCTTTTGCTGTAGGGCCACTGTGGTGCTAAGAGAAGTGCAGTGCTGCCTAGAATAGAAATATGTTTGTGTTTGGCATCAATGTGGGATGTAGAAACAGCTGTGTTAACAAAGATCTTGACCCATTTGCAGAAAGACCTTTTGATAAAAGCTACTCCCAATGAAGAGTAAGGAGAATAGCAAGGAGAATACATAGAAAGTTTATCAAATTCAGTCTTTTGTTATTGCAGGCAACCATTTCATGTAATCATGTCCATAAATGAACCAAGTTCCAGGAAAAAAAAAAAAAGATTTAAAGCTTTTACATCCATTATTTTCCTGAGGAGGTAATTTCAGAACCTTGCTGTTTCAGTTGTTTGAAAGCTTCCAGTCTAAATGTGTGCACAACCAATTCCTACACGCTCATTCTTCTTGCTCAGGAACAAAGATAAATAGCTGTACACTGCAACCACTCTCCCAGACTTTCAGCTCCATGGGGCCATAGATCTGAAGCTGCGTGTTTGAATCTGTTCTGTGTTTGCATAGTCCATTACACAGTCACCTCACAAGTACGAACTACAACGTGAGACAGAGCATGAAACCTGGAGGGGGACCACATCTCGCAGCTCCTGAGTGACTGCATGGGTGCCATTCCGCTAGAATTGGGCACTACTGATCCTGTTTGTTACCCCTGGAGCCTCCAGACCGTGGAGCAGGTGGAGCAGCTCCTGAATCATGAGCAGAGTCTGTCAGTCAGAAAACATAATAAGAAAAAGAAAAAAGAAAAAAAGAAAAGCCCCAAACCCCAGGCCATCTGGCTTAGAATTAAAAATCTGCAAACATTAGAGACACAATCAGCTTAACCCTGGCAAAGGAGTAACAATGATGAATTGTAAAGTCTTCATCTATATGGACATGTATATGCCGCACACATTCCATACCTAAACACGTGTGCATTTATAAATAGTCATATATACATGCGTTCCTGTAAAACTAGGCACTCAGAGAAACAGTGCTTTTAGAAGATACTCCCACAAAAATACATCTAATCTTGTTGCTCCAGTCTGAGCTCACAGGGCTGTGACCAAGTGCTGCAGCATATAAACCATCCCACCTTTTAGGGAGACCATAGCAAGAAGGGAAAGTATTACCAAGTCTGAACTCATGTCACTCACAAACACATGAGAATGGCCAAACCAAAAAAAAAAAAAAAAAAAACTGCAACCCCCTTTTAAACCACTGCAGTGGCAGTGGCATAAAGTAGGGCAAAATTAATCACGTAAGATTTTAAATAAAGACAGTTGGGAAAAAAAAAAACAAATAAAAAGATTACGTTATGAAGCCATTGTTAGCAGCCTGAAAAATAATCTTCTTTAGCTGGTCAGTATGCATGTAACCAGCCTCCTGCCTTCTTTCCAGCCCAAGCTATAACGTGCTCTGTTCCCTACGTGAACACACAGTCACATCAAATCTGACAGTTGTAACTCATGCAAAACTCTATTGACTTTAGCAGAAATTTTGCCTGAGTGGTGACTGTGGACCAAAGGAAATAAGGATCTTCAACATCAAGGCAATGCTACTTTTAGTATGAGAGGCTCTGAATTTAAAAAAAACGATTGAAATTACCTGCGAAGGAACAGACAGCTCCCAGTGCTCCTCAGTTTCTGCCTGTCATCGCACCAGCGGGTTTTCTCCACCAGAAAGGGGTCCGCCGCGTGCCTGGGGGGCTGTGTCTCTGCCGCCTGCTGCCTTCCCAACACCGCGCTCCTGCGTGCGGGATGTGCGGGATGTGCGTGCACCCCACGCTCCTGTGTGCGGGATTTGCGGGATGTGCGGGATGTGCGTGCGCCCCGTGGCCCGCGCTCCTGCTGCTCCGCTCCCTCCGCTCGCTCTCCGAGCACCGGGGCCGGGCTCGCTGCTTTTGCTGGCTGGGCTGCAGCTGCTCACTCGCTCCTACGGATGGACTGTGATTCCAGCCTCTGCCCGTGCTGATGCCTAAATGGCGACTGTGGAGCTCATCTCAGCTTTTAACTGCCACCTACTGAATAATTGTGGAATACATGTATGTATGTACATATATCTCCACATGCATATAGGCTGCACTTTTCTATCTGTCTCACCAAAATGCAGTGCATTTTTACAGTTAGTTTTCCAGCCTTGCAAATATTTAGTAGCTTCTCAATTAAAGCTGTAGTTTACCTTAACTGTAGTTTACATTAAAATCTGTGCACATGTAGATACATTTCAATCAGCAGCTGAATATGGAACAAGATAGATTTTTTTAAAAAAAAAAAAAAAAAAAAAAACCTTTAAAACGCACACAAAGTCCATGGTTACACTAATATCCAGGGGGCATAAATCAGCATTCATGTCCTCGGAGTTGTGCTGATTTAGACTAGCTGAGATATCAGTCCCTTAGCTCTAGTATTTATTTGCAAAAATACAGTAGAATCCAGTACTGAAAACAAGCCATAAAATAGCTTGTTCTGAGACAGCCCCTCAAGTTTTCATTTACCTGCTTTTTTCACATAGCAAAGTAAAATAGTTTTCTTAGAGCTTTATAGGCAAACATAAAGCAAGTGAGTACACCCATCTTCAGTGGTAGATTTTTAGACATCTGTGAGAGTCTAAAGAAAAGATCTGATGGCTCTTGCATCTCCTAATGTTTAAAGCAACTCCAAGAAAGCCTCAGAAAGGCTTTTCTTTCCCCACCTTCGAGTGGGGTTCAGTCGGCAGTGCCACTGCAAGAGGAGAGTTTGGGTGCAGGATCTGGCTTTGAGTCACTGAGCTGGGAGAGGGGCTCATTGCCCAGAAGCTGAGGCATGTGCCAGGGAGGGAAGCAGGTCTTTAGGCTCACAAATCCCATCTGACTTGCACCATGATGTAGCCCGTGTGCATCCTGCATCTTGCCGTAGCACGGCCTGCTACATTTTTGATGATGGTGATGTTGGCAGTGGAGTAAAGCTTTATCTATAAACTTTGTGCTATTGCACAGGAATTCAGCCTGTGTATTATCTTGGTAAAGACGGACTGTGTTACGAGTGCAGAAGCTGGCCCCACTTATCCTGGTTTCTGCAGGGTTGCTGTAGTTACACACCCTGCAGCTCTTCAGTAATCTTTGGAGCTGCAGGTGGAAGTGCTCCTTGACTGTGCCCTCATTGGGACTGTGCCCTCATTGGGAATGTGGATTTAATTTGCCTTTAAATTAGTAAGCCCTTGATGAGTTTTAGAGTTACAATTTGCCCCAACTTTTACTTGTTCAATTTACATTTCAGGTCTCGAGATTTTACAGGCTGGAACTGTAACTGCTAAGATGGGATGTTCAAGACCTTTTAATATCCTGATTCTACCCCAGAATCCAGTTTACTTCAATTATCCATAGAGCCCCTTGTAATTCTCTGCTTAAATTTCCAAGAAATGATCTATATTTCCAGGCACACTTTTGAGTTTTGCAGCCTTCACCTGCTGTCTCTCTCTCTGTTGAAAACATCATGGTTAGAAGCGCAGTGCTGGGACACTGCACTACATTACACTCTGTGCAAAGTACAAGGTACAAGGTATATTTGCATGGGATTCCCTTCTTATTTCTACCAAATAATAGCACGGCAGTGCTGCTCCTCAGCAGTACCAATGTTTCATCCCGTGGGGTTGTTCAGACTATATAGACTTTTGAAAGCCCAGGCATGACCTAGCCCATAAGAGCAGATTATTCACACCAGGTCTCTATAGTAGACTACTCAGGCCACATCTCATTTCTTCACGTCAGCATATACTCCTGTTTCGTTGTTCATGCCTGAGCTGGCTGTTTTGTTCATGCTGAAGGACTCACCAAGGACCTCCACTGTGAAACTTTAAAATACACGCTGGCATGCCTCATGCACTGCTACCTGGCAGGAAAGTGTCAGAGGGCAAGGGTGCAAAGACTCAGGTCTACATTTCCATTAGAAGCTTCCTCCAGAGAAAAGTTCTGTACAAACTTCATGGCTATTACGTTTTGTAACGTAGCTGGGGAGAGCGTTCAAGGGACAAGAACCTCCTGAGTTACCAAAATATGAGCTGTCTAAAGTTTGAATGCAGAGTCACCACAGCCTGGCATGTGCACTGGAAGTATGGCTTCTGAGTCATGATTCACTCCATGGTCCACATACAACACAAGAAAACGAGGTCTTCAGATTCCCTGAAGTAGTCTGACATGGAAAACACTTGCTTTGTTGTAAAGGCTGTATCTGTGTAAGGCAGAACCCTGTTGTGATCAAGAGTAAAGGGAGCAAGGAAAAACTCACCTTTCCTGCTTCTTTCTATATTTCTCTGGAACACACTTGCAAAACCATATCCTACTAAAATATATCCATCTGCCCCCACATTCATCAGCTTTCTACTTGAAAAATTGTATTTTAGATACATGAATCCATAAAGAAGTCTAGTTCATCATAGATCTTTCCCAAACAGTGATTATCTTTATAGTACTATGCTAATTTCCCATACTCTATCTTGGAATTGTGCTCAAAACTGAACTAATGACTTTTTAATCAGCAGTACCTACAATGTCAGGAAAGAGCATATTTTTAAGGTTTTCTTTTTCTTTTTCTTTTTTTTTTTTTTTAAGAAATCTACTAGAATTTTCCCTGGAAATAGTTTCTACTTTGTCCAATAGCTAAATAGGGAGAGATTATTATGAAGAGTGCTTCTCCGGGACAGTTGATGGTGAACAGTGGATTTGTGAATGTCCTGTACTTGGTGCAGTAATTAGATTTGCACTTTGTAAATGTGATGTGGCTTTGGCAGCAGGAGAGATGATCATAAAAGCTGCATTTTGCATCAGTGTGATGCCTTTGAATCTTAGGCACTGTCCACCATTTTCTGGATGAAGAATAAAATTTTCATGGTCTTTTTAATGCCTGCATGGTGCTTTGAACAAATTTATAAAGCTCCATGTAAGCTGACAAGTAGTAAGTCACTACTGCGTATTGTTTTGAAAATGTAATAATCAAATTATTTATTATGCTTTTATGATTCAGAGTTTATTATAGACTATTTACAATGCACTGGAACACTGTCCCTGATAGCACTGCATGTCCTATATTAAGCAAATGTGATTAAAATCCATGCATAGTTTATCAGGCACTATAATATCTATATATAAGATATGTGGGTGGCATACACTAATGCCATGAGGTGGCAGAGAGTCATACAGGTTCTCATTTATGTGAAAGTGACTCTTGACTACCTCTAGGTTCCTCTGAACTTCCAAAGATGGATCTTTATCTAATGTGTTTCAGCAGTATAACAACCTCATCTGATGGCCGGAGTTGTTCTGTGAAAAAGGGTTGTGGGGAAAGATCCTGCTGGATTTTTTCCAAAGGAGGACCCGTTACATGGTAGGATTTCCAAGGCTGGTGGCTGGATATGTGTAATACTGGTATCATGAATCATGGTCTTTTAGCTCATCACTTTGCAAGTCAGCCTTATATTGCGCACATGCGATAAGAAGGAACTTAAAAAATTAAATCATTGCTGTCGTAACAAAATCCTGGCATGTTCTTAGCTTTCAATAAAATGAAACAGCTTCTCCTGCAAAACTTCAGTGCATGTCACTCCCATGGACTACAGAGGGAGTTTGCTGTTGGAAGAAAAGGCTGCCACATCTCATAGAGCACAATTTCATTCTTCTTTACATTTCAAGGGATTTCAGATGAGGCTCTTTCTTACTCTGTTACTCTGCAATATGATAAAGCAGTTGCCTTTAGAGACCCTGCTGACTAGCTGCTTCTGTCATTAGCTCTATTACTATCCTTCAAAAGTTTACAAATGTCAGCCTGGGTCACAGGAGAGGTGAAAAAGTCAGTTCTGCCTCACTGTCTATGTGACAGACACAACATTGTGGCATGCTTCTAAATCAGGAATATCAGGTAGAGCTTTGCTGTTGATTTATGGGGGAAGCAAAGTGGGTCTTTGTCTACAAGTGGGGGAGATGTCAGAAAAGACAACCGAAGGAGATACGCTCTTGGCCCCTTCTCCAATATCTGAGCTACTGCACAGGGGAGAGTAGGGTTGTCGCTGAAAATCTGTAGCAATCTGTGCTTCAGCTGCTTCTCTGCAAAATGCAGAGTGTAATGATATTCAGTATTTAATAGAATCATTTCCTAACAGTACTGAATATAGCAATGTGTGGCATTTATAGCAACAACCAACTTGAAGATCAAAAATGGGTCACAGGTAACTGCTCTGTTTTCCTTTTTTTTTTTTTTTTCCAGAGATTCACCTAATTAAATCATGGACTTATGCAAAAAAGAAACAAAGTCAATAAATCACACAAATCTCTAAAAATAGATAAGGTGAATGTCCTGTATCCATAAAAGGTATTTACTGTTGCTAAAAGGGAATTGTGAAATTACTAATTAACAAAGAGTACAGTTATATCAAAACAGTATTTCTGCCTCCCTTAACTTACACATGTACCCATCATACCATAGGTTGGACATAAGTGAGTGTGTTAGGAAGAGGTGTTTTTTTTTCATTTTCTGATCAATATTCATCACAAAACACCTCATTGCTGCAATCCACAAGGTCTTATTCAAAATCATCCAGGGAGACCAAAGGAGACTTATGGGGATGGAAAGGCTGGGAAACTTGAGACCTGATAAGGGTATCTCAGTGATATTAACTGCTTGAGTAGT